CAGGTTTTATTTTATCCATCCATTTTCACCCGCTTGTCCAAAGCCGGGTCTCGGGGCAGCAGGCTGAGCAAAGCACCCAGACGTCCGTCTCCTCAGCAACACCTCCCAGCTCCTCCTGGAGGATCCCGATGTGTTCCCAGACCAGATGAGATCTATAATCCCTCCAGTGTGTTCTGGGTCTGCCCCGGGGCCTCCTACCAGCTGGACCAGGAGGATCCTGATCAGATGTTGAACCACCTCAACATGAAGGAGCAGCGGCTCTACTCCGAGCTCCCTCCAGATGTCTGACTCCTCCCCCTATCTCTAAGGCTGAGCCCAGACACCCTTCTTGGAGCACTGGGACATGCTAAATCTTTTTCTGGCAGACTGTAGAGCAGTGGTTCCCACCTGGTCCGACCACGGGGTCCAGATTTGTCCTCAGTCATTAGTTTAAGGTCCACAGTTTAATATACGCAGCGTCATCCTGTCAAACCAGTTTGCTGTCTCTGTTAGTCTCTCACTCAACAGCAGGAAACAGCACTTCAAAATAAAAGGTTGTGCCAGAAATCCACTGTACTTTGTTTTCCCACCAGTTGGGACCCACTGCTGTACAGTGTGGCAGTCAAGGGATTGGTAATGTAGTAAAAATCAATACAGAAGCTGATATCCAATGATGGACAACACTAATGCAAACACACAGGATGATACAAAGGATGGAGGCTCAGTTTACCTCACAGGACCTGACTGAGATGGAGTCATCAGCTGATGGAGTGCTGGGTTACAGCACAGTTACTGGAGATATACAATGTGATGACCGGTCGGCTCACAGCTGAGTGGAGACCACAGAGAGAAGAGAAGCGTCCGGTCCCCACGCNTGGTGGAAACATTCAATCACTGCCAGGTTAGGAAACATGTTAGCATGCTCCTTCCACCACCATCAAACCTCCAAAGGATCCCAACTCCATGTAGGCTGCCACCTCATCCTCGGGCTGCAAAGTGTCATGGCTGGAGTCCTCCACGTCGGTGACCAATGTGACCACGGGGTCAAAGGTTACACTGGTGTCACTGACTTTCAAAATAAAAGGAGCTGCAGCTTGATAACAGTGATTTAGATGTTAGAATATTACACATATACTGCACAGCTTTTTTATTTGGTTTATTCTGAAAAATAAAGAACATATTTACTGTGTGTTCTCACCTGCTGCCCGCATGTAGTTCATTTTTACCCGTGCATTTATAAATATACATATTTTAACCTGTCACACAGCTGTTTGCAGGTTATCCAACGAGTTGTGATCTGACTCGTACTCAGCATTCTGAATTATTATCATTATTATTATCATTATTGTTTTTACATAACGACATGATTCTGTTTTACCTTTGCACTGCAGCAGAGCACAGTAACAGTCCTGCAACAGCAGCCGTTGCTCTGTAACAGCCATTTCACATTTCCCCTCCGGGCAGGCAGCTATAAAGGCAGCCGCACACTCTGGTCACAGTCATTTAGTCGTGTAGTTCAAGCTTCATGTTTTGTTATTGTGCTGCTGCACTCAGGCATCACCAGAATATACCCACACTGATATTGTTTCAAATGACAATGAAGTGGAAATCATTCCTCATTGTTTCACAGCTGGGTAGATGGGTAAAGAAAGGCCATTCAATGCACCAGAGTAAACAGGTGGATGTATGGATGAGGGAGAGTCTGCAGAGTTTGTACTGTCAGTAAATCAGTGTGAGTGTGTTCATGCAGTTTCTGGAGTCTGGTATCACATTAGTCAGTCACTGCTCTGTACCAGTTGGAGAGAATAGAAAATGAAATGCTTCAGCTCTGGACTTTATTCTCTCTCATGGGCCTGACTTTTTATCAAGCCACCACAATTGGGTTAAAATAAATGACCATTCCCTTCAATTGTGTCGCAATTACGCCTCCTCAAATGTCCAGGATGAGTCTGTGTGTGTGCAGCGCTGTGAGCTGACTAATGCAACCCTTTGTAGGTCAATGGCTTCCCGAGATACTGACACATTGATGCAGTGGGGGGGCCATTTAAAGCCTCGTGTCATTTGGGGCTGTCATTAGTTTAAGATCTACCGAAGGCTCTCACACACTCCAGTCAGATATATCTTATTTTCCATTTCCCCTTCTCCTTTTCCTCTTTTAAAGGAAACATCCACTCTCATACTGACTGTCAGCACCAAGATTAGATGTGTCAGATTTAGGGGCATTCAGGCTGCTGTCAGCCCTAGAGTGGTCTCCTCTGGTCTGAATCAGGGACTCATGTTGTTCCAAAGTTGTATAATTGCCTAGAGTTGGTTCGTGTTCTCACGGCAGCATTTACAAGAGGACCAGATCAAATGCCTTGTGTGAGAAAGCTGCTCTTGATTGGTCAGAATTTCCATGTGGGAAAAATCCAGGAAGTAAAGCAAACGTTGAAGAAGAGTACACTTGCAAGATAAATGTGACACTTTCTAATGTCACAATGGAGGGACAACTACGCAGGTTGATTTTAGCGCTGCTCATCGTGGACTATATTGCTGTCATTGTTCATTTTAGTCAAACCATACAGTTTGAAAACGAGGCGCGGCTCCAACTAGAAAACAATGTTTTGATGCATTGGATGTGCTGAATGTGCATATTAAGGCAGTACAGGAGGAGGTGCACATTAATAATCCTCCAGGACTGTAACATGCTCATGTTTAACCCAAACAATGTGTCATGTGA